AAATGCTAATTAATTCATTCCCTCAGCCGTGCATTTATTTAAGGTATTTGTGGGTGTTCTTGGTGCTTTTATGAAGCAATTAAAATGCATCCAAGAAAATATTTATCTGTTTTAAGTCATTCTTAGTAAAAACAATTTATATGGTGAGCAACTGCTTTATTTTGCATCGTTAATTAAAAATTGCAATACACTCCACCTCCCTGGGTTACACACCCTCAGAACAGCCAATCTGCTGGTTCAAGGAGCTGGTCACTGCAGAAAAACCTCCTTAGCAAAGGTCCCTGGAGCCAGCAGGATGGATTGAAGTGGTGCTTGATGGGGCGTTGTAGGTCTGAGAGCCCCAACATCCCTGTGCTGCTGGGAGATGCTGGAGGGAGCTGTGGCCTGACAAGGAGCTTTGTAAAGAAAATTATGGATGAGTCCTACAGCCTTCCCAGGGCTGTGGAGTAAAGATCTTGGTCACACACACTGTTTGGTGAAGGATTACAAGCCCTTATATTGCGGACAGAGGAATTTATTTGTTGCCATGAGCTTGGGCAGCGCTGAGGAGGATGGAGCGCTCGCAGTGATGCTCTCCTTGTCCTGATGCTCTGTAGGGCACATCACGTTCGTGTTGTGAACACCATTAGCTCTTCATGGGCTCCACCAGCCTGGGAGCCCAGCCAGAAACATGGTCATGAGGAAGAAGTGATGGAGCTGCTGTGTTTTACCCCCTGTACAGGAGATTCTGCTGAGCATCTTCCACTGAGCCCCTAGGAAGAAGCACAGCTGCTTTGTCCTGGTGTTTGGCAGATTTCCTGTGGAAACCAGAGCAGGTCTCTGAGACACTGCCAGATGAACACCAAAACAAAGTCGTGGCACTGCTTTTGAACTAATATATCCCACATTGCCCTTTTTTATTTGCTTGTGAGCACTCTTAGCTGGGAAGTGATCAATATAGTAAAAAAAATATTATTTCCCTGGAGAATGTCTCTGTAGAAAAGTTCCCCCCTCCCTCTTAGCTTTAGGTTTTAAAAGAACCCAGTACAGGTATTTAACCTTTAATCTTTCTTTAATTTAATTATTTAATCTAATTATTTAATATTTAATCACTTTTTTCAGTACTGTCTGCAATAACCCCTTTGATTCTTGGATCAAAATATCTGTTTCTGGTTGAATTTTTCTTTCTTCCATCACCTGGACTCCTTCAATTCCTCGAAGTTCCTGAATTGGGAGGCACTGGGCACTCCATCCAGAGAGGCCAGAGAAAAACAAGCACAGGTTAGAAGTATGGGAAAGGAAACAGCAAAATGAAACTCAGCCTGGAGAGGAAGAAATTCTCATCTGGGGAAACAGGTGGAGGTGGTGCTTGGTGAAGAGAAAATGTGCAACGCCCAAGGGGATGAGGGGCAACAGCAGAGAGGGTTCTACATCTGTGTTGGCCAAATGGGACAGTGAGGAAAAGTGATAAATTTGGAGCTGAGTCCTCCAAAGGTGCCTGGTAAAGAGCAGGCAGTGAAGGCATCTCCTGGGGATGCTGCCACTGTCACCCCATGGGGACCACCTCAGGAGTACTGGGTAGGTGGGACATGGTCTGTGGTGTCACCTCTGCTAGGCCAACCTTTGAGTCCTTTCCTGCAGCATGGCAAGCTCAAGGAAACCATGGGAAGAGGTATTTGGGCAGGATTCCCAAGGGCAGACCCTTCCCCCTCTCCTTGGGCAGGCTGAGCATGGGGGACACACAGTGGTGCTGAGGTCGCCTCACCTGTCCCTACAGCCCTGGGTTGGCTTAAGAAGAAAACCAGCAGCAAAAAGTCCCAAGTGGCAAAGCCATACAAGGAGAGACTAAAGAAGGTAAATTCATAGAGTCTGGAAAAGACCCTGGACAACATGTTTCCAATAGAAGCACCTGCAAGATAAAAGTAAAAGTGCAAGAAGCCTTCTAGGATGGTAGCACAAGGAGCACTGGCTGGGAGCCAGGCTGGGTGTAATAACAGTGGTGACACAATAGGAAGAAATGAGGAAGAGCTGAAGCAGTGGAGGGGGTGGATGGGGCTGCTGGAGCGTCCTCCACACCTTGGCTCTGTTTTATTCAGATTCTGTTTATGAGTCATTACTGAAAGGTGAAGAGGTGCCTAAGACATGTTGTGGGCTTGTTATAAACACAAGGATCTTGCCTTCGCGCTGTCAGGGAGCATGTGGCAGGAAGCTCTACCAGATGGTTATCAACTGGTGTTGTTAAAAACCAACCTGACATTATAAACGATCTCTGCTGCTTGTTCAGCCACATCGATTGAGCAGTGTTAAGCCTTGGGAAGATGGAGCTAAGCACAAAGAATCACCCGTTGTGAGACACCTGCACACTGGGGAAATGGAGCTTTGTGGGAGCGGTTGGTTTTGAACAAATCCATGAACAAATCCAACCCGCCTTGCCAGGTAGTTAGTATTTTCCCAGGCAGTTGCAAAGTCAGACAGCTCCTGGAAACCTCCATTTTTACTTGCTTTTGCAACATCCAGGAGGACCTCAGCTGAAGTCTTCCCAGCTCCGACCCCCCTCCAGATGGTTCTCCTCTTGGTTTCCAAACCCCAGTTGCCTCCATGTCTCTTCTGGGAGGATAATCTATAGGTGGGCTGGAGGGCATGGCCCATGGAGCCCACAAATCACATTTATCCTCATCTTGAAACCTCCTTCTCGTGAGGCCTTGGAGCAGGCTGCCCAGGGAGGTGGTGAAGGCACCATCCCTGGAGGTGTTCAAAAAAGGGGTAAACATAGTGTCTTATAAGATGGTTTAGTGGTTGGAGGCTACAGGGAAGATGGTTGGAGTTGATCATCTTGAAGGTCTTTTCCAACCTTGATGATTCTATGAGTCTATGAGTCCTTTGCAGGGCAGGGAAGGTGGCTTATGTGCAAACAAAACAGGAAAACACCAGGCAGAAGAGAAGTGCTGGATTCCCCCATGGTTTGTTGCCACACTCAGCCTCCCAGACCACTGCAAGGAAATGGCTTCACGTGCCTTCCTTCGAGCATCCATGGGGACAAAGTTGTGAAGGAGTTTAATGGAGCAGAAATACTCCTGACAGAAAGCACAATCTGTTTCCACATTCACCAGCTGAAGTTTCATGTCCCTGGAGTTTTTTACCTTCCTCCCTGATAGCTTTCTGACATCCAGTGTTGCTGAGTGATGGCTTTTTGACTAGGAGGAAATGAGGACCTGTCTCTTCTCCACACCCTGTGCAAAGTTTCAGGGATTAGATATTGGGGTTCAGGCAGATCCCCCAGCTCTCTCCCACCACAGCCTGGGGAAGAGGAGCATCCCCAAGGGACAAGATGATGCTCCCCATGATGGGCAGCATCATTCCTGTTGCAGGGAGGCAGCAGGGCAAGGCAGATCCCATCTGGAGGCAGGAAGCAAAGCTGGCCAACCTCTCCCAAGCCCCTTGGCTTGGGTTGCAGTTCCTCTGGGGAGGGAACAGCATTACCAAAGCATCACTGGCCATCCAAACTGGGAAGGTGTCGCTTGGGCTGGCTTTGCCAGGTTGAGGAACCTCCCTCATTGGCACACAAAACACATCCTGAGGAATAACAGCGGCATCTTCTGATTAATTATTGAAGGGGGAGTCCAGGGAGGTGGGCAGGGCAGGGAAGCAAAGTGGCCAGTCAGCATCTGTTAGAGGTGCAAAGATACATGAAAGGAGAGCGCAGAGCAGCGCATACAGATCAGCTCCCATCTGCACTGCTAGTCCATCTCCTTCAAAGCACTGGTTTCATCAGATGGTGGAGGAAGCCTTGCAGGTCAGCTGTCCTCATTCCATGAGGTTCATGTTGGCAAGCACCAGGGGAATTGGTGCCAGCAGCACTGTGGGAGCGTTTCCCAGCCTGCCCTGGAGCGGAGTTTTCTTTCACTCCAGCCCCACTAGGCTACAGACCTTCTGTACCTGTTTGCTGCTGCTCCAGTTGACCAGGGCTGTATGAGTCTGGTGTTGAAGCAAGGACAACCCATAGCAGAGTGGTGAGGGCAAGCAGAAGACCCCTCGGAGGACCATGAACGGACACAGCAGCCCCAAAACCAAACACCAACCCCACACGGGAAGAAGTGCTGAGTTCCCAACCCAACCATAACAGCCAGCACACCCAGAGGAGGGCAGCCCTGACCCAAGGAGGGTCCTCTTCCCTCTAATTCACCTGTCAGTTGTTTGGGGAGGATTCTTCTTTTTTTTTCTTTTTTCTTTTTATCCCCCCCAGGCTGCTGCTTGCACTTTCCTTCCCTTCCCCCAAAGCTGGATGGAGTCTCACATTGCCTGACAGCATCTCCTGCCTTCCCCACCCTCTCCAGAGTGGCTGGTTGCCACACGGTGCCCCATTAGGTCACATTTGCTCGTTGTTTGGCAAACAGCAGCTTAATTCAAGTGCTGAGTTGACAGCTTGTTCTCGAAGACAATTTGCAAGTTGCTGTATTGCAAATGCCAGCTTGGCTTTTCAGGGTAAGGTTATTTCAGCTTCCTGAACAGGAGGAAGTTCTCTTTGATTAGGGATGAAAAAATAGAAGAAAAAAAAAAGGGTGAAAGTGGAGAGAAGCTGAGAAGCTTTTTAGTGGTTTTGACGTGGAAGGACCAGCAGCGTTGTGTTCAGCAAGGGGCTGCTCTCCTGGCACCATGGTTGCCCATCAGGGGAGACAGATATGTCTCATCCCTCCTATCATGGAGGTCTCCCACCCATGCCCCACAGTCCCAAGGAATGAGGAATATTCCCAGTGAAACAGGAATATAGCAACTTTGGATGACTTTGGAAAGGTTTCAGTAGGGAAATAGGTACACATTGCTTTGGTGTCATCATCCAAACCTGCATTTGCAATCCCTCCATCCATGTGGATGTGGATGATGCTGAGGACAGGTCAGGGCTGTCCTGCTGCCCCCCAGGACTACAAGCTGTGTGCTGGATGAGCAAGTCTCCACCATCACACATGCCTACATGATATGCAACACAAGACAAGACCACAATGCTGCTCTTTCCTCTTCAACAGGTGGGCTAAAAAGGGCCAGGTTATAAAGGAAGCATCTGGTGACTTCTATGAAACCATTGTGGACCACACCTTCTTCTTTGAGCCTGTCTCCTGCGAGGTCACCAATGCACTGGGCAGCACAAACATCAGCAGGACCGTGGATGTCTACTGTAAGTAACCTGCCAGCTGGAGACTGGCTTCCCAGGGCTAAGCAGGGCCAGCAGAACTGCTGAAAATTAAAGAGAAGGGGATACAGGTAGATCAGAGATGCCCAGGGTGACCAGGTCTTGCTGGGCTCTTTTGCAGCTCCTGCTTTGTAAATGCTCTGGTGGTGGGACCCATGATTTCCTCTTGCTTTAGGAGCACGGATCTCATGGTGGTGGTCCTTGGGGAGCTGGTCATCCTGGGGTTGCAGCAGGCACCTGTCTCATGTTCTCATCTTTATTGTGGATCTTACATGGCTGTGACCCATAGGTCCATCAAGACATACCAGTGCTTCCTCTGACACAGTGACCTCTTTGGTTGGAGGATTTCTGGTTGACATACCCCATCACTGGGAGTAACTCCAGTCTCCTCTGTGCAGTTGGGCCCAGGATGGCAACAGAACCACAGTCCCTTCTCGTTGACCTGGGCTCAGACGCAGTCTTCAACTGTGCCTGGACTGGAAACCCATCTCTCACCATCGTCTGGATGAAGCGAGGCTCAGGCGTGGTAAGAATCTCTGCTGGGATGGTGGGGAATGGCACTTGCTTGGCACAAGGGGCTGCATGATGCTCCCCATGGAGCAAAGACCATGCCTACAGGCTGGGAGCTCCTGGTTGGACACATGCTGGACCTGCAAGGCTCCTCCAGAGACAGGGGACAGGTGGCATTGCAGAGCAGCAGCTCCCAGGTCTGTGATGCATGTCCCCAGAGAGTCCAGAGGAGTGCATTAAGCAGAAAAGACTTTATTGGCTTGGTAACATTTTGGAAGAAAGCTTGTGTGGCTCAGGAGACATCTGGATGACAGGCAGGAAGGTCATGCCTGGAATCCCATTTGGGAAAGTCAAAGAGAAAAGCAGACTCCTGAAAATCAATGCCAGGGTTGTCTGACGCTGCCCCATGGAGCCCTCCAGACCCGCCTTACAGCCGTGGCTCAGCAGACTTACCCACAGCTCCTGAACTCCATGATCTTACAGGTCTTTTCCAGAATGATGCTGTGATTCTGTGATTCTTTTCTCCTGAAAAGCCTAAGGAGCTTTGCCAATATTAATCATGGCTCAGTCAGTCCAGGGATATGCCAGCTCATCTGATCCCCTTGTTCCAGACAGGAGGGCTGAGCAAAGCCACCTTAACAACCTAAACGAGGGGCAGTGCATCAGAGTCATCTGGAAAGTGCAGGTTTGGGTTTGAAAAGCATCTTTCAGCAGCTCAGGACTTGGTACTACCAGAGAGCTGGACTGGCAGGGGGGTGGGAGGGGGACAGGCTGAGTCGCTCCCTTCATCTCCGAGGAGCAGAGTGGACACTGAGGCATTAATTGCTGGTTTGTTTTTTCCAAACCATCAAGATCTCAGTGAAGACCATCTCCTGGGATGTAATTATAGTCTCCTGGGAGACTTGCTGGCTCATGTCAGCAAAGGAATCCTGGTGGGTCATTAATCCCTGGGTGATTACCCATCCTTGTTTCTCCTTGTTATTC